GTAATGTAATGTAATGTTATGTAATGTAATGTTATGTAATGTAATGTTATGTAATGTAATGTTATGTAATGTAATGTTATGTTATGTAATGTTATGTTATGTAATGTTATGTTATGTAATGTTATGTTATGTAATGTTATGTTATGTAATGTTATGTTATGTAATGTTATGTTATGTAATGTTATGTTATGCAATGTTATGTTATGTAATGTTATGTTATGTAATGTTATGTTATGTAATGTAATGTTATGTAATGTAATGTTATGTAATGTAATGTAATGTAATGTAATGTAATGTATGTATGTATGTATGTATGTAATTAATGTATGTATGTATGTATGTATATATATATCAACGCATCAAACTATCTATCTATAACAGGTCACGTTGCAGGGCATCTCCGAAAGCTGCCAAATGGCAAGTTTTCTTACTTAAAAACCATCTTAAACCCATTTCCTGTTCGTGAAATTCTCGTTCTGGATGGTCAGATCCACTATCAACATGTGGATCCAAATTCAAAACCACATTTTCAGAGGGTCATATCAGAATTCTTTGGAACTCTATCCTCCCAGTTATTTTGGGGCCAATGTTTTTTTCCCCCTTGACCTTGGATGACTTGGGCAGGTCTCACAACCTTGGGGGCTTCGGCGGAAGAGGCGCAACAGGTCATGGAGGAGTTGGACGTCGGAAAAACGGGGCGCATCAGCTACACCGAATTCTTGGCCGGCGCCCGGGAGCACAGCGGGGGGATGGCAGAGCAGCTCGTTCTGGGAGGTGTTTTCGCCATGTTTTTTTTTGGGGGAGGTATGCACAGTGCACATCAGTGTACTTTAATAGTGTGCCTGTTTTTGTTTTTTGGGGAATCCCAACTTGCGTGGTGATCATTCCATGGCCATGACGTCGACCACAGCAGATGGATAAGCTCGGAGTTGCTTTGTTCGTATTTCGAAACTGAGTTACTGAGTTTAGATTTTAGGTATCTAGGTATCTGTATATATATATATACACATACATATACATATACATATTCTATATGTAATTATATACATAAATATTGAGATTAGATTCAGGATGCTTCAGGTGTATTGAGATCCGTTGCTGTCCTTCTTTTTTCGGAAAGCTCAGTAGAAAAAGCGCAGCGCCTCACCAGGTCACAGACCTCCGGCAGAGAAGTCCCATGGAACGAGACAAGCTCCTGAAGTTGGCCTGGCAGCAGCTGGGGATCACAGATATCGCCAGGTGATAGCAGCTATGGGACCAATAACATGGACCAACCAGGGCTTTTTCTTTTGGGATGATGCCATGAATCCCAGCGACATTTTATGTTTACCCATGTTTACCCAATAACCAACCTGAGGTTTGACCCAGAAGCATCTCAGCTATTTTTCAGAACAGGGGTACCTTTTGGAAGGACAGTTATGGACCACTGGATGGCAAACTGGGAACATTTACATTTTTGAATGGATTATCGATTTTCATGGGATGTTTTTACAGTAATGGGATTATTATTTGATGATGGGATTGTAGGGAAGAAGCGGGAAGGTCGCTTAAGCAACCATGATGGGGGGATAAGACTGACCAGTTCTTTAATGGGAATATAATTGATGGGATGTCATGGGATATGGCATAAACAACAAATGAGGCGCCCGCTGGTCCTTAAACAACGGGTTTTGAAGACATTTTCATTTTTATGGCCATTAATGATGACATAAGTGCGAACAGATGATAATACATAATCCTTTAGAATGGGATGAAACTAGATTAGGTCAGGAAGAGATGTTTGGACCTTCAACTGTCCCTAGGTCCAGCAAGGGTGGTTTGTTTATTCCAAATGATGATTTTGAACCATCAAAAAGATGTTCAGACAAAGACATGTTTGGTGAAGGGCTTTGACATGGTTTGACCCTTGAAGGTTCGCCCCTGACCAGCGCGGGATGGTGAAGACTGGGAGTATTCAGGCCTGGGTCTGCGTCTGCGACGACTTTTGGCATAGGTGTTTTTTGTATTTTTTTTGTCATAGCCAGAATTGAACCCCAAAATAAATAGACCCACTACAAAACTCAACTTTTGAGTTGGGTATTTGATACTAAGGGGATTGGATTATTGACGGCTGCTGGCGGTTTTTCTTCAAAGTAGTCGGTCATCCACAGCTTTTTGCTGCTTTGTATTCTCAAATCATCCCAACTATTGCGGATTTCCCCTCTGGCACTCAAACGTGGCAATTGAACATCTGCCATTTACTTCGATTTGTCGTTTGCACTTCAACAAATTGTTACACCTTCATCTTAATAAGGCCTTTCCCCGTATTTTTTCCCCATATATATATAATATGTAATATATATATAATATAATATATATATATTTTTTCCCATTTCTTTTATAGAACCCCCCATGGAAATTGCTGGTTCTTGGGCCATGTTCTTGGCTTCGCTTGGGCACCGCAGCTGGGAGGCGGCTTTGGCGGCGCGGGGGCTGACCGTTGCGGAGCTTCCGAAGGAGTTCCTGAAGGAACTTCGTCAGGGGAACTCAGAAGGTGTCGTTTGAAGCGACCTCTAGTGGAACAATGGGGAAATCAATAGGTAAAATATCTATCTAGATATCTATAGAATACAGTATCTAAATGTATCTAATATCCAATGAATGGAAGTGGAACAAGTGGTAAACCCAAGGCCATAAAGCTAGCATTTGGGGATGATGTTTACCACCCACTTATAGTGATTTTGGGGATGATTTATTGGGTGTACCACATTACTCTATTTGCTTCTATCCATTGGTTAGGAGGGAGGTAAGGAGCTATGGGTGTCTATATTCCATGTTAAATGGGGAGCCAAGGAGCTACTAGTTTCCCAGCCACGTGATAGTTTTACATGTTTGTTCAATTTATAATGCAATTGGCTGGGTACATAAATGGGTGGAATGGCAGGTGAACAAGTTATTCACATGTCTTCTGGTGTTTTGTTTGGTGATACTTGAATACTTGATGGTAGAAGAATATCAATCAGCGTCCGGGAGTCATGGGGTTACATATGTCATCATATTTCTGGATTTCCTTGGCAATATTTTGATGGGAGACTGCACTTGCTACTTATATCCTGCTACTTGCGCAACTTGCTTTCAGGGCTGATCCAACCCGCTACTCGTACTACAGTATAGGCAGTATGGTAAATGATAGCCACAGGGGGGAAAATTGGTGATTTTACATCTCTACCTATCCCGTTTCCTTCCCTTGTATGTAGCATGTTGGGAGCATGGATGCTTTTGCTGGTTATTTGCAGCTTGTGTCCCACAAAAAACGCGTTTGAGCCGTGCCCATGCGGATGGCTGAACACTGGAAGCTAGTACTCTGGAAAGCTGCGGAGGTTGACTGCAACACTCTGATTGGACTCTGTTTGAACTAGCCACTGGAAGTCAAAATTCACCATTCCCTTTGCCATTTGTTTCCGCCTTGGCCCCAGTCTTGTTGGGTTGCCAATTTTTTCTGATGAGATGCACATTCTGGGTGATGGGTGATAGATCACCTTAAAATCACTTTCAAGCCATCTTATATAAATCATCTTACATTCACTTATATAATCCTCTCATAGAAACGTTTTTGCACTACATGCCATTTGGGTTTGTTTGTCTGAAAACTATTCCCAAATTCCACTGGTTAATCATTGAGTTATACCTATCATTAATAAAATGACACGTACTTTTTTATTGCCATTTTTATGTGGGGTATGCCCAATTTCCGCCAGCACCACACCCATTTTTCATAATCTATTGTTGATGATATATCACATCAATGCTCCCACTGGCTATCCCATTGATATCTCATTGAAACCCTAAGTTTTTCTGGTTGAATTTTCCATTTTCAGACACACAAAAAAGTTACCAGCCAGTTGATGAATGTTGATTTTAGAATGCTACAAATCCCAGAAATGTCACATTACATCCATTTAAACATATTTAAACCCCATGGAACTGGTACTTGGACCATGCCAAAAAAATATTTTTCGATCTCCTTCAGGTCGCGGTTCCGCAGGCGAGATCTCCTTTGAGGCAAGCTGGATGGCCGATGATGGCCGATGTATGATAGCTATAGTACCCCCTATATGAATAGAAAGGTAACATCCTTCTTGAAATAGTGATGAATGACTTTTCTATTTTTTTTGGGGGGGTTGCTACAAGTTCCTGTAGATATACGTATATTTATTATTTATATATATATATATACAACTCCAATAATATCCAATAAGTATGGCTTATGGTAGATATGTTTTCATTCTGCAGCCAGAGTATGGTAGAATAGCCCAGTTTCTCACGGATGTTTTTTTTTTTGGCGTCCAAACAAAAGTTGAGATGTACACTCGGACTACACATTTGATGATGATTTACTTTTCTATGTTTATACATTATATATATATAGGATTCGCAGGTCTTAGGAAATACTCATTGACAGGACATGAGCCACCAGAACCGATGAAGAAATACTCAGATCATATCTACATATATATATATATATTATATCATTGGAATCATTTATATGAATATACAGCAGCAGCAGTGGAATCCAAGAAAAACACATGCATGGTATTTTTGCCATCCTGGGAAGATAATCTCATTAGATTTCTTTTCCCGAGAGGCATTTCGCGGTCTTTTCGCAGGAGATGAGCCGGGAAACTCGAAAACCCAGGGAAATCAGGCCATGGGTTTGGGTAATGATTAAGGGGTTTATTAAGGGTTTATGAACCAGCAACAACCACGCATTTTGGGGTTTAAGGGTTTATGAAGCACGAGCAACCATTATGGATACTCATAGGGGCTTCTGAAGAACAGCTATTCTTGGGTATGTACCTTCTGGTAATCGTTTACTGTTTGCTATAGAACGCCAGTATCGTTGTTTTTTTTTTTGTGACAATTGAAGTATTAAACGGGCCATGGCTTCCAGAGCTATGCTGAATTTGCAGAGGACTATTGCAAAGGGATTAAGGACAAACTGAGCTGTGTTCAAAACCCCTGTTGGTTGATGATTGTAGGGGGTTGTACAAATATATTGGGGACTATCACAGCCCATGAACTGGGAATCCCTATTAACGAACCAGTACGAAGGGACGGCATTTCGGGTTTTGAACAAACACCAGCAAACTTGAGGATGTTTGTGATAGATTTTCTGCTGAGCGTGTCCCATTTTTTGGGGGGATACCCATGGATGTCAAGAATTGGATCAAGCAGTGTTTTCTCGGGGTTCTTCCGTTTTTGGACACACTCTCGTGGATTCTCTCACGTCGCATGGACTCCCGAATTTGTGACACCAGCAATTCCTCTACAGACACAATCTTACTGGTGCTCAGTAGGGAAGGGGGGAATGATCCCAGTCATCACTAGTAATTTCATAATGGGGGCCATGGATCATGGGATCGCCAGCCGCGAGGTCCTGCTGTGTCATGAACTCCTTCGTGGGGAGTCTGCCTCGAAACTGAAGTGGCTGGCGAAGGGCTATGGGTCAACTGTGCGACCTAAAAAGGATGGTTCAAACATGTTCAATACCCTCTGGTAATTTAACATAGCTATTGAACATGGCCATTTATAGTGGATTTTCCCATGAAAAATGGTGATTTTCCATAGTTATGTTAGTTTACCAGAGGGTACATTTCGGTACTGAGGACAGGAAAACACATAAAACACCGAGCAACGGTGTGTAGATCCCAAAAAGGTCTTCAACATTTTGGATCATTTTGGCCCATAGCCAATTGAGCGATCCAGGAAACCCTGTAGATCCTAAGTTTTAAGATGCGTTGTCCCCCCTTTGAGGGACATGAACTTCACATGACGTTTTTTCTGCAACGGCTGCCGTTGCAGCCAATCGTTTGGACAGTGGCTTCGCCCAGAAAACGACGTGGCTTTGTCCAAAACTGGCTTGGAGATTAAACCATCTAAAATGATCTAAAATGGAGACACAACAATTGTGATAAACGGGATATCATGGGTGTAGAGTCAATGATCCATGTCTGGTTGGTGGTGTTGGTGGTGTCCAATATTAACAAAAACCAACCCTAGAAATGGGATGATGCATCGAAATGAACAGCGCCTCATATGGTACATGCACATCCATATAATAAGAGGTGTGTATATAAAGATGTATAATGATGTACATATATATATATATGTATATATATATACACTATAGACTATATATATATATGATAGTGGATTAGCATATATATATATATATATTAGTGGATTAATATATATATATGTTAGTGGATTAATATACACACACTTATATATATATATAATATATAGACATACGATGTATAATCGATGTATATAATATAGTAATGAAGGCCGCCTGGCCGCCTGACACTCTTATCCCTGACTCCCATGATTTGGCGCTCCGATTTTGGCCCGCAGACTGGGAGATCCCGAGAATTCCAGATGTCACGGGAGTGGATTGCTGCCCCAGAATGCTGAACCTTTCAGAGTTCGTCTTAGGGAAACTGCCGCGGATTGGAAGATAAGACATACATCATTAAGATGATATATATATATATTATAATAAGAATCATATAACAATAATACATTCTTGCCCCAGATGAGCCCTTCAATCAGCTTTCCAGGCCCGCAAGTTCTGGGGTGATTTTTTACAGGCTGCTTTACAGCATCTTTTCACTGACATCACAGCAGTGTTACTCCCAGTAGTCGCTTGTTGCGGCCGCCAAGGGAGGCGCGGTCTTTCCCCCAGGAAAGGTGTGTTGCACGGTTGCACTGAAAATAAGCTGAGCTGGGTGTGGGTCCAAACAATAAACAATCACAACCCTAAAATCTGAAGTTGAGAGTTAGGGTCTCAACATCATTTGCAAAGTCTGCAACGGTTGTTTTGCAGCATTTTGGACTGGGTTTTCTTTCGGCCTCCGAAACGTGCCGAATGAGGCTGGGCAGCTCAAAACTTACGGCTTACTCATGGACCCACCAGACATACTCATATATTATTTTTTTTCAATTTTTAGCATCAACATTCAACAGCTCCCAAAAACTGGTCACTTATTTTTTGGCCTTTTTATACTATTAAGTTTAGTATCATGGGGATATAGACATAGATATAGTTAGAATATCTTCAGTATTTATATCCAATTTTTTATTGATGCTATTCCTACGACGTTTCTTGTCAATCAATGGATATTCACCATTCATCAGGGTGATATTACCCTCTGGCAAACGTTTACATAACTATGGAAAATCACCATGCTATTAATGGGTAAATCAACTATTTCTATGGCCATGGCTTCAATAGCTTTTTGTATGTTTACCAGAGGCCAGAGGGTACTCGCATTAATATCGCATTGAATCACTATAGAATCCCATTAACTCACTATAAAATCCCATCAAATCACTATAAATCCCATTAAATCAATCAACAAAGATCCCAATAAGTTGATTCTATCCCAATAGCTGCTTCGCCACAGAGGTGGGATTTTTCGAAACCCGGGTTGGCACCTCGATGGGCCACGCATGCACCTCAGGCGCGGTTGCTGGCAGCTGTTCCTTTTTTTCCACAGATTTCTGGGAAAAAAACGAAGGATCTTTATGACATTTGCCAGGAAAATATAGATAATATTAGAGCATAGATGCGGATTTTTTGAAAATTTGGGTCTGTCTAAACAGGGGTATACCTCAAAATGGCCCACTTTTTATGGGGGAAACAAGAGAACATGGTTTTGAACCAGTAGATTTTATGGTAGTTTATATTCAAGCAAACCCATTTGTGAAAAAACACAGCAGAAACAACGGATCTTTATGACATCTGGAAAATATGGAACATGTTGTGTTTTGGAACATGAAACGTATCTGAACATATGGACAACTTTTCCGGGTGTCGACAACTTTAGATACCCTTTTTTTTTTGGACACCTGGAAAATATGGGGGAAACGGAAACATCAACAAACTAAGATTCTGAAGGACAAAAGACATGTTTGTTTTTTCTTTTGTGACCCTTATGAACTATGTAGTTGGAATATGTGGGATCGAATAAGAATTAATAAGATTATGAGATGCAAACGATATGGCTTGTGACTTGAACGTGACACCTACATATATCTACGTATATGTATAATTATATAAATATATGTAGCACTTGCAGGGTGTCATTTGAGTCCTTTCCAACATCGCAGAGTTGGGTAAACCTTGCTCAAGGAAAATGCAGACATGTTTATTCATCGTCATGAAGGAAGATACTCTGAATATATATGATATACACAGACGTTTTTCTTTTTATCATTATATCTATTTAATTCTCTCTCGTCTCTCTATGATATGTATATATATATATACACATACTATCCTGCTAAACACGAACTTTCGGTTTCGCGTTGCGACTCTTTTTGGTTGATTGACATAAGCTGGGCTATGAAGAGCCCAGCTTGAGTTGAACATCACGTGCCCAGCTTGTCGCTTCGTCTGAAATTAAGGTACCCCAAAACTAGACGACGGATGGCCCGAGAGCGTAGAGGAGCAGAGTCTTCTGTTGTTAGTATGGAGACACTATATTAAAGATGTATTATAGGCAGACGAGAAGAGTAGTATCAAGACAATATATGACTAGTACAAGACAATAGTTTGCATCGTATTTTTGTAAAGTTTTTCATACACAGAACTTTTTACAGACAGACGCTTTTGCACACAGAGACTTTTACACACAGAGACTTTTACACACAGAGACTTTTACACACAGACGCTTTTACACACAGACGATTTTGCACACAAATACTTTTACGCACAAACACTTTTACACACAGAGACTTTTACACACACAGACGCTTTTACACACAGAAGCTTTTACACACAGAAGCTTTTACACACAGACGCTTTTACACACAGACGCTTTTACACACAGACGCTTGTTACACATAGGCTCTTTTACACACAGCCACTTTTACACACAGACGCTCTTACACACAGAGCCTTTTACACACAAACGCTTTTACACACAGACGCTTTTTGCACACAGAGAATTTTACACACAGAGACTTTTACACACAGAGACTTTTACACACAGACGCTTTTACACACAGACGATTTTGCACACAAACAGTTTTACACAAACACTTTTACACACAGACGCTTTT